GGCAGCTTCCTCTCACTTGCTGACATACTTTCCAATACCTCGGAGAAACGACCTCGGCCCAGTATACCTGAATAAGTGCCTCCACCCCCATCGTTCAGCTCTGAGGGCCTTCTAGTGGTTCCCTCCCTGTGAGGTTACAGGGAACAAGGCAGAGGGCCTTCTCAGTAGTGGCACCCACCCTGTGGAACGCCCTGCCATCAGATGCCAAGGAAAAAAACTAGTATCTGACTTTTAGAAGACATCTGAAGGCAGCCCTTTTTAGGGAAGTTTTTAATGTTTGATGTTTTATCGTGTTTTTAATATTCTGTTGGGAGCCACCCAAAGTGGCTGAAGAAACCCATAGGGTATAAATAATAAATTATTATTATTATTATTATTATCATCATCAAAATAACACAAAAACTAAGCAGCAGCTATGAAAAGTGGCCATAAAATAGCTCCCAAAGAAGAAGAAATTCAGAGTGGCAAAGCACACTCATGCAGAAGGACCACCTTCTCCTTCTCCCGCCCACCCCCGCCCCAAATAAAACAACTGATACAGATGGGAGTAAATTCATGCCAATGTGTTACAGAATGGACTCCAGCTTGTCATTAGAGTAATGCAACTACATGATCCTACCCCACCCCAGATACATTCTGCACACAATGAGGAATGTTGCTCACCCCAGATTTATGGGCTAAATATAGAGCACAGCTTACTGGGTTATAAACAGACACTCATCACCACTGGCAGTGAGCTTACTTAGGGAATGGTAATAAGCCATCTCTGGGATGAGAGGCACATCTCATTGGCAAGGCAACCCACTCAGATAGTCGCTTTGCGGTCTGACCACATACAGGAACCAAATTATTATATTGCCTCATAAAACGCTGCCTTCTTCCAGGGCCAGACAAAGTAATAACAGTTCGCTTGCATAAAGTGGTATTTCTGCCTACACAGAAGTGGGTGGAACACGTTAACAGAGTGTTGCAGGCCAAAAGTGAGCCACCAAGACTCTAGGAAAATGTCTACGTATTTTCGCATGTCACTAACACTGGAAATAAAAAGGAAATGGAAAGAAATTGTACCTTGAAATCTTAACTTTTCTCCACATTTGTGTTTTAGAACACGTATCTTGAAAATATCTACAAACACCATTTGAATGCTCACAAACGGCAATGGGTTTTCAGATCCACAGGTAAAATCCCATAAACGCAAACAAGCAAAATGCAAGTTACAGAACAAATCCTAGCCTGCCAACGTAACTGTGAACAGACTTCAGTAGATCTTTGAAACCAGCCGGCTCCCGCCTGCTTAGTTTTTCTTGTTTTTTTTTTAATTATTGACTTTGCTATGAAAACAGCCAAAGGAAGCCTTTGCACTAGCAGGATTAAGCAACGGGCAACATCAGCAGACATGTTAAAACCTCTGCCACAATTCCATTCACTTTAGAGGCTCTACTGATTAAAAAAAAGGCCTCTCTGTGCATACACAGAGGTGACATCTGCGTATCAGAAGTGAATGTTTGCTGTGCATGTACAACACACATAATTGTAATATGTTTCATTTGTGCATGAATGAGGAGACCTTTTGGATTCAAGTCGCCCCTGGTTTTGCATGGGGCAGAAGTGGAGATTCACCACTGAATCTTATTCCAGCATTATCTGTGCTACTGCAGACAGCTGAAATAAAGAAATCATGTAAAATATCTACGGTATATCCTACCATCCTAACACTTTAGGTATCTTTCCAACCTTGGGCCTATTGCACTAGATTACCCTCACAGTCCCTTCCAATTCAACAATTACAGTGGTGCCTCGCAAGACGAAATTAATTCGTTCCGCAAGTTTTTTCTTCTTGCGAGTTTTTCGTCTTGCGATGCACGGTTTCCCATAGGAATGCATTGAAAATCAATTAATGCGTTCCTAGGGAAACCGACTTCAGACCAGGTCCGGGGACAGTCTGTCCCCGACCTCTTCTGAAGGCTGGGGGGGACAGGGCCTTTCTTCCCACCCCCAGCATTTTAAAAAACCCCGGGACAGCGGAGGGCTTCTCCGCTGTCCGGGGCGATCTTAAAATGCTGGCGGGCGGCATTTTAAAATTGCCCCGGGACAGCGGAGGACTTCTCCGCTGTCCGGGGCAATTTAAAAGCCCCTGGGAAGGCAGGCAGGGGGGACAAAGACTTTCGCCCCCCGCCAGCCTTCAGAAGAGGTCCTGGACCTCTTCTGAAGGTTGGCGGGGCGAAAGTCTTGTCCCCCCACCTGCCTTCAAAAGCTGTCCAGCCCAGGCTTCGCGGACCTCTCCGCGAGCAGCGGCAGCGCTGCCGCTGCTTGCGGAGAGTTGCCGGCATGCCGAAGCCTGCGCGCGCTGAGATCAGCGCGCCCAGGCTTCGCGGACCTCTCCGCGAGCAGCGGCAGCGCTGCCGCTGCTCGCGGAGAGTTGCCGGCATGCCGAAGCCTGCGCGCGCTGAGATCAGCGCGCCCAGGCTCGCGGACCTCTCCGCGAGCAGCGGCAGCGCTGCCGCTGCTCGCGGAGAGTTGCCGGCATGCCGAAGCCTGCGCGCGCTGAGATCAGCGCGCCCAGGCTCCGCGGACCTCTCCGCGAGCAGCGGCAGCGCTGCCGCTGCTCGCGGAGAGTTGCCGGCATGCCGAAGCCTGCGCGCGCTGAGATCAGCGCGCCCAGGCTCGCGGACCTCTCCGCGAGCAGCGGCAGCGCTGCCGCTGCTCGCGGAGAGTTGCCGGCATGCCGGAGCCTGCGCGCGCTGCGATCAGCGCGCCCAGGCTTCGCGGACCTCTCCGCGAGCAGCGGCAGCGCTGCCGCTGCTCGCGGAGAGTTGCCGGCATGCCGAAGCCTGCGCGCGCTGAGATCAGCGCGCCCAGGCTTCGCGGACCTCTCCGCGAGCAGCGGCAGCGCGGCCGCTGCTCGCGGAGAGTTGCCGGCCTGCCGAAGCCTGCGCGCGCTGAGATCCGCGCGCCCAGGCTGCGCGGACCTCTCCGCGAGCAGCGGCAGCGCTGCCGCTGCTCGCGGAGAGTTGCCGGCATGCCGAAGCCTGCGCGCGCTGAGATCAGCGCGCCCAGGCTCCGCGGACCTCTCCGCGAGCAGCGGCAGCGCTGCCGCTGCTCGCGGAGAGTTGCCGGCATGCCGAAGCCTGCGCGCGCTGAGATCAGCGCGCCCAGGCTCCGCGGACCTCTCCGCGAGCAGCGGCAGCGCTGCCGCTGCTCGCGGAGAGTTGCCGGCATGCCGAAGCCTGCGCGCGCTGAGATCAGCGCGCCCAGGCTCGCGGACCTCTCCGCGAGCAGCGGCAGCGCTGCCGCTGCTCGCGGAGAGTTGCCGGCATGCCGAAGCCTGCGCGCGCTGAGATCAGCGCGCCCAGGCCTCGCGGACCTCTCCGCGAGCAGCGGCAGCGCTGCCGCTGCTCGCGGAGAGTTGCCGGCATGCCGAAGCCTGCGCGCGCTGAGATCAGCTCGCCCAGGCTTCGCGGACCTCTCCGCGAGCAGCGGCAGCGCTGCCGCTGCTCGCGGAGAGTTGCCGGCATGCCGAAGCCTGCGCGCGCTGCGAGCAGCGCGCCCAGGCTTCGCGGACCTCTCCGCGAGCAGCGGCAGCGCTGCCGCTGCTCGCGGAGAGTTGCCGGCATGCCGAAGCCTGCGCGCGCTGAGATCAGCGCGCCCAGGCTTCGCGGACCTCTCCGCGAGCAGCGGCAGCGCTGCCGCTGCTCGCGGAGAGTTGCCGGCATGCCGAAGCCTGCGCGCGCTGAGATCAGCGCGCCCAGGCTCCGCGGACCTCTCCGCGAGCAGCGGCAGCGCTGCCGCTGCTCGCGGAGAGTTGCCGGCATGCCGAAGCCTGCGCGCGCTGAGATCAGCGCGCCCAGGCTCGCGGACCTCTCCGCGAGCAGCGGCAGCGCTGCCGCTGCTCGCGGAGAGTTGCCGGCATGCCGAAGCCTGCGCGCGCTGAGATCAGCGCGCCCAGGCTTCGCGGACCTCTCCGCGAGCAGCGGCAGCGCTGCCGCTGCTCGCGGAGAGTTGCCGGCATGCCGAAGCCTGCGCGCGCTGAGATCAGCGCGCCCAGGCTTCGCGGACCGGAGATTTCCCTATGGGCTTTCGTCTTGCGAAGCACGCCCATAGGGAAATTCGTTTTGTGAAGCGCCTCGAAAACGGAAAACCCTTGCGTCTAGCGGGTTTTCGTCTTGCAGGCGTTCGTCTTGCGGGGCACCACTG